TGAACTGTATTTAATAAAGTTTGTGCTTGGTAGTGGTACTGGTATAGCAATTAGGAAACTATTTTGTGTTTAATGTATATTAGGAAAATATACTGATTCTATAAGGAACAGAGTTCTCACTGTGGCAAAAGGAGGTACAAATAGGGAAAGGAGGAAACGATGAACCAAATGGTTACATTAGGCTTCGTGGTAAAAGGATAAACCCATAACTTCGTGAAAACTCTACTTCCCTAGTTCTGAGAACGGATAGAGCCTAGAAACCATGACTCCATTAGCCTTCAGCACACCTGGCACCCCAAAAATACTGATTTCTAAATTCCGTCTCCCACTCAGAGGAACAAGAGAATCTACTGATTACAAGCAGAGGCCGAAAAGGTACAAAATGAGTCCAGAACATCTTTCCGTGCCAGAAAGTAGGAGATGCTCAAAAACTGATGGAAACATGGCAAAGAACACTGAGGTACACAGAGGTTCCCATCTGCCAAATTCTGGGTCACTGGGCATCAAAATAGATAATAACAAGAATGCCATCTTAAAAAATATCCAGGAGTCTATACTTACACTAAAAAAATAAAATGAAAAAGCTATTCATTACTGAAGAATGTCAATGGTGTATCAAGAAAATTAGGGAGAGACAATTGCCATCTACAAATATTTTAAGGGACCTGGGGAAGAGTCACCACTGGATGCTGAAACATCGGGTGAGAGATTGTTGCAGGACAGTCACACAATCTCAAGGTGTCACTTGATAAATCATGTATTATTTATTTACAAAGGGCAACAGGTGCCTCTGCAAAGGAGAAATCTGGTTGGATCACCTTCACAAAACAACCAAAGGTCTCCAGTAATGGGACAAATGGACTGCATCTGCTCCCTAATGAGATGCACGGAGGACACAACACACCTGTGAAACATTTCTGAATCTGATTCCAGAATCTAACACTCCAGAATCTAATCATGAGAAAACAGATGAGCCAAATCGAGGGACATTCTAGAAAACTGGCCCAGACCTTTCAAAAGTGGTGATATCATAAAATACACCCCCCAAAAAAAAGAGTTGGCAAGTTTTAGATGAAAAGGGATTAGGGGCACCCAGGTGGCTCAGTCAGTTAAGCTTCCGACTCTTGATTTCAGCTCAAGCCATGATGTCATGGTTTGCGTGATTGAGCCCCATGTGGGGCTCTGCACTGACTGCTAGGAGCCTGCTAGGGATTCTCTCTCCCCCTCTCTCTGCCCCTCACCCCTCCCACTCTCTCTCTCTCTCTCAAAACAAAAAAATAAACATTAAAAAATAAAAAATAAATAAAGGGGATTAAACAGTCATGACTACCAAATGCAGAATGTGCTCCAGGATTGGCTTCTGGACTCTACCAGAAAACAGTATCATATCGATGGTGTATTTCCTGACTGTGATCATGGTTCCATGGCTTACTGGAGACATATTGTTCTTTGAAAACATATGTTCACATATTAGGGGTAAGGTGCCATGAGCTATGCAACTCTCCTCTTGCACTGCTGGTGGGAATGCAAACTGGTGCAGCTGCTCTGGAAAACAGTTTGGAGGTTCCTCAAAAAATTAAAAATAGATCTACCCTATGACCCAGCAATAGCACTGCTAGGAATTTACACAAGGGATACAGGAGTGCTGATTCATAGGGGCACATATACCCCAATATTTATAGCAGCGCTTTCAACAATAGCCAAATTATGGAAAGAGCCTAAGTGTCCATCAACTGACGAATGGATAAAGAAGATGTGGTTTATATATTCAATGGAATACTACTTGGCAATGAGGAAGAATGAAATCTCGCCATTTGCAGCAACACAGATGGAACTGGAGGATATTGTGTAAGTGGGATAAGTCAGGCAGAGAAAGACAGATATTGTATGTTTTCACTCATATGTGGATCTTGAGAAACTTAACAGAAGACCATGGGGGAGGCGAAGGGGAAAAAAGTTACATAGAGGGAGGCAAGCAAACCATATGAGACTCTTAAATACTGAGAACAAACTATGGCTAGATGGCGGGGGGGGGGGGGGGCGGGAAAGAGGGTGGTGGCCAGGGAGGAGGACACTTGTTGGGATGAGCACTGGGTGTTGTATGGAAACCAATTTGACAATAAATTATATATATATTTTTTTAATTTTTTTTTCAACGTTTATTTATTTTTTTGGGGACAGAGAGAGACAGAGCATGAACGGGGGAGGGGCAGAGACAGAGGGAGACACAGAATCGGAAACAGGCTCCAGGCTCCGAGCCATCAGCCCAGAGCCCGACGCGGGGCTCGAACTCATGGACCGCGAGATCGTGACCTGGCTGAAGTCGGACGCTTAACCGACTGCGCCACCCAGGCGCCCCTAAATTAAAAAAAGATCTGCAACTCTCAAAGGTTTAGACAAAAAAATTAAGTGTACATGTATATGAACAGAGAGAAGTAAACCAAAGGTGTCAAGATGTTAATAATTGGTGATTCCAGAAGAAAAGTGTATAAGGGTTCATTATGCTATTTTCTGCAACTATTCTACAGATTTGCAATGTTCCAAAGTTTTAAAGAATTAAAAGGAAATATTACCACACTCACTCTCCTTTTCTCTGCATTACTAATCTCTGATTCATCAGTGTTTACTTTACCACCACTCAATGTCTACATATTTACTCATTTATTCCCCATTATAACGTAAGCTTCACAAAGGCAGGGAAGTCTGTTCTTTGTTGCAACCCCACTCTCTTGTACGGTGCCCAACACATAGTTGACACTCAGAATTTGTTCAGTGACTGACGTTCACAATCATTCTATGAAGCACACACTATTATTATCCTTCCTCACCAGTGAGTGGTCTCTCTCTTCCAAGGCAAGTGGTCTCTGTCTTTCACGCCCAGCGAGGCATGGAAAAGTTAGGTAATGTACAGAAGTTACAACTCGGGTGAGGGGCAGGGCCAGGGTGGGAAGCCAAGCATCTGACTGGAGAGCTGATGCTCTTTTATTAATTTAATGTTTATTCTTTTTGAGAGAGAGAGAGAGAGACAAAGAGAGAGAGAGCAAGTGAAGAAGGGAGAGAGAGGGGGACAGAGGATCTGAAGCAGGCTCTGAGCTGACAGCAGAGAGCCCAATGTGGGCTCGAACTCACGAACTATAAAATCATGACCTGAGCTGCAGTCTGATGCTTGACCGACTGAGCCATCCAGGCGTCCCAGAGCTGATGCTCTTAATCACTGGTGGGCTGCTTCCCAATGAGTCAGATTCTGCCTGTTTGCGTGTCTCCTGGTTTCCACGGCCACCAGCATAGGAAAGCCTCAAAGCTCCTGGGGTCCTGTGATAGCACCTGCCCTGGCCTCCCTGCCTCCAGTTCCTCCCAGCCTCCGATTCCTCCCAGTTACACCCCTTCCTCTGCACGGAGGCCAGATTATCCCTCCTAAGCACAGGGTTCCGATTCTGCCAGGCCCAGAAAGAGTTCTCCTTCGCCTGCCAAGTTGTCTTTGTCACCTCTTGGAATCCTCTGCCACATCACCGCGTGTCCACACACCACATATCCCGGTTGGCTAGGTTCACATACCCTCCCTACCCTGAAGTCTTTGCTTCACAAGAGATACGTGACTTCACGACGGTCTTCTCTCCCTCTGTATGCCCACAGCACCTTATGCTCAGAGGCCTGTCTTACATTTACTTCTGTACCTTGCAATGCAGGCGCTTTTGAGGTCTCTCAACCCCTCCCCGCAAGCTGTACTCCACAGATATACCCCACAGGCACTCAGTGGCTGGAAGACTGATGTGTAGTTTGGGCCAAGGGGCCTCCAACGGGAAACCCTTCCGTTAAGGAAAAGTAGTTAAGGGTTTATAAACATGCTCTGGGGGGTTGGCCAGGACCGTGTGTGTTAGGGGTTTACTGAAAGTGGGGAGGTTGGGGGCGCCTGGGTGGCTCAGTCGGTTAAGTGGCCGACTTCAGCTCAGGTCATGATCTCGCGGTTCGTGAGTTCGAGCCCCGCGTCGGGCTCTGTGCTGACAGCTCAGAGCCTGGAGCCTGTTTCGGATTCTGTGTCTCCCTCTCTCTGACCCTCCCCCGTTCATGCTCTGTCTCTCTCTGTCTCAAAAATAAATAAACGTTAAAAAAAATTAAAAAAAAAAAAAGAAAAGAGAAAGTGGGGAGGTAACAGCGGAGCCAGACATTTATTTCATGGGGCTGTTAATCCGGCTGAAGAAGTGGGAAAGGGATGAAGGCAGTTCCCTTACGGTTTCAAAGGGCAGGAAAGAGCACCGGCCGCCCTACTTAGGAATCCCGGAGTGAGGCCATCGCCCACTCAGACGCTCCCCTCGGCCAGTCCCCGTCCCAGGTCCCCCGCCGGCAGCAGTGCCAGTCAAACGCGCGGTGTCGGAGGAGAGAGGGCTGCGGGGGCAAGGGGCGGCGAGGGCGGGGACGCCAGGCGGCCGAGCGAGCTCGCGCGCCCCCTCCCCGCGCGGCGGACCAGCCGACTCCTCGGGCAGGTGGAACCCGCTGCCCAGCCCCGTCCTCAAAGGGCTCACAGGCAGCGGAAGCAGTGAAAGGACAGACCAAGTTGGCGGCGGCGAAGTACCCGGGGGAGGGGAAGCCGCTAGCAGTACCTGGAACTTAGAAAAGGCACACCCTTCCGGAGAAACAGTGAGTCGTGAGGTGACAGGACTTGGGGCGGGGGGCCGGGGAGGGGTGGGGAGGGAGTTCCGAGGGGTCTTAGAGGAAACTACGCCGGAGAGGTGAGCGAGCTGGAGTCCGGTCCCTCTTCCCAACCAGGATTCCGGTGCCTAAGGTCAAAGTTACTTCCTGACTACCCACGAGAGACTCGCTGACGACGGGACAAGTCTCTCCGCCGGCAGCGTTTCCCCCGCCCCCCCCCCCCCCCCCCCCCCCCCCCCAAGTTGCAGCCTCCTCGGGCGCAGCCCGTCCACTCGGCGCCGGAGCCCTGGGGTCCCGGGACATCTCCGGCACCGCCCAGTCCCCGCCGGGTCCCGGGGGAGGCCTCCACTCACCCAAATGGAGCACCAGACAGGCCACACCGAGAATCCCCGCGGCCAAGAGCCCGTCTCTCCCCGCGTGCATGGCTCGTCCGGCCAGCCACGCCCGGACTGGGCCAGGGTGGGCTGCAAGTTCCAGGGCAGCTCCGCCCGGCGCCGCGCGCAGGCCCGGTCCCGCCCTCCCGTCGGTCCCGCCCTCCCGTCGGTCCCGCCCTC